CCTGATAACCCTCCGAGGCGTCTGAAAAGAAGATGGCCTCGTGATCTTCTCATGTAGACAAATTATTAGAGTGCTACCAGTGGGTAGTTTCTCAACAAGCGTGTTTCATGTAATAATATTTCTCTGTACAAATTTACTAGATGTATTCATACTAATACAGTTGTAAATATCATAATAAAAGTTTAAAAAAAAACAATTTATTCTTTTTCTACTTATTTCATTTTCCTTTCGATTTATTCATTATATTTATTTTTGGCATGATTTTTTTCTTTTGTTTATGTATTTTAACAGTATATAATGTATATATTTATTGAATTTTAAATACGTCATTTTTGTTAGCAATGTTCTCTAATTATTTGTACATGTTTTTTATTATCAATGTATTTCAGTTTAAAAGTAAAATGTTTTCTATTATATTCTAATTTTTTATTCGAATGATTACAATTTAAATTTCGTTAAATTTTTGGAATTTTTAATAGTTTATACCTAGTAAACGGATAATTCACACAATATGTTGTCAGTGAACAAATAGCAGAATATTATATAAATAAACTAACGCAATGTATTACGAAAGTAATATTATAAATAAAAAGTAACAATACAAAATTTATTTTAATTAAAAATATTAGACTAAAACGTGAGTACAAATTACAATTGGCTGTATGTTAGCTAAAAATGGTCCGATTTCGATGAATTTTTGTATGTTTTGTAGAGGTTTGAGAAACATTAAAATTACCGTTGTTATAATCAAAACATAGAAAGTATACTTTTCGAGTTATGTGGATGTACAGTTTCCTTTTCTTCATGACTTTTTTTTATGAGAGATGTGCTTATTTTTTGCACATGAAGATGCGATAACTTTCAAAATGATGGCTCAATAATTGAATTTGAGGACACATTAACGGAGATATAGCGTACAAAGAAAAAAAAATACCTTTAACAAATAATATATATATATATTTTTATTTCTTAATGATATTTACAATAGTATTAAAGAAATACATTTAGTAAATTTGAATATATATTTACGTGAAAACACTTATCGAGGAACTACCCAATGGTAGCACTCTATAAATAATATTTAAAGATTTTATTCATATCATAGGATAATATTTACAATATTTTGTTCTAACGTAGATACGTTTCAATAATGGAAGTATCAATTAAGTCCCAATTTTTTTCGAAAAATCCATCATAGATTAATCATACTTAGATTAATAAGGAAAACAAAGAGCCTGGAAAACAGCGAGATCAAAGATATTTCAACATCTTATTATCAACAATAATGTCACCGAATGTATTTGACTCACCTTGAAAATATTGTAATTATCTTGAAAGATGTTTTGATTAGTGTAGGGAATAAATTAAATATAATTAAGTATGTGATTATAGTGTAGTGGATAGGGAGTTACAAATAGCTGCATATAATTATGAATATGAATTTCCCCTTATTTTATTAAACTTATATAAATTTAATTTTTTTTTATTTTCTTAATTTACTCTATTGCTCATTAATATCATATTAAAATAGATGATATTAAAATAAATACTTACTTCCTAACAAGATAGCATTGCGACATTAAGTTCTTATGAAACGATTATGAGTATCAGATAATGCTGTTGCAGTTTTTTGTAAAGTCTTCTTCGACAGATACTAGATATTTACTACACATTTTAACGAAAAATTCAAAACAGTAGGATTTACTACGAACCTGTGCGATAACGTCATAACAACCTGACCTTCTTTCCGCTTGAAGTTCCTCATCTAAACAACCATGATTCGCCCGTCGCTCTTGTATGGGGCAATACAGTTTTAGGATTCTAGTAAAAAAATTGGGAAAATATTGAAATATTTTGAGAATGGCATCATCCGTGAATAGTTGAAATAATTCCATGGATTTATTATATGCAGAGAATAAGAAGCTCTCAATGTGAGTATACTAAATTCTAAGCAGCAGGAAATATTTGTTTGTTTAGATTGCAATATTTTCAGGAATTTCTATTCAGAACTTTCAATATAAATATGCTAAATACTAAGCATCAGATTTTTTTTTTAAAACGTAAAAACATCGGGTTTAACAGCCTAACACCAAAAGGCGTCTAAACCTTTTGGAAAAATTAATTAATTATTAATTTTAGGTTTAAATGTTAGAGAGAAAGCTATACTCGAACCAGATGTGAGCACCGTAATAAAAATAAAAATTAAATAACCTGTACCACTATAACCCATAAAGGGTCTCGGGTTCAGTACTATTTAGGGAAGAGTGCTGTTTCTTTCTAAACCTCAACTAAGAAGTTGATTATGCACATATGTTACTACTTGCTATAAAACAATATTAAAGTTTATGTATATATATTTTTCACACTAATGTACAACTAAAGGTAATTATTATTATTATTATTGCTATTTCCTGATCAACGATTGTTCAAAGAGGTGGTTTGATGGAGACCACGCTCAACCGCCAGGTTTTTCCTTTTTAATCATTATTTAATTAACAGTACTCACCCACTTTATAGAGGCTGGGTGTGCCACAGAAGGGTCCCCTGACCCCAGAGTCGCCTACGACCGATGAAACAGAATAAATAATTTTTCTGCCATGAACTGGGATTCGCCCTAGCACTGAGCAACCCCACTCTAGGAGCACCATAATAGGAACACCAAATTCACAAAAATTATGATAGTTCTATGTACCTCACATATTTTAGCAATAAACGAGTTATTAGGCAAGAATAGAATTGTTCAGAAATCAAGATAAAAATGTCCTAAGAACAAAGAATATTATTTTCATGATGCACACATCTTTCTTCCTATAAATATAATTCATCGGTTTCACATATTTCCTTTAGTAAAAGAGCTTTATCAAGGGCCTGTAGAGAATTTGTAAAGTTATGCTAGTGCATACGTTCTTCTCTGACTCAATTTGAAAAAAAAATGACACATAACCCCTTCATCCATCCACTCCTTCAAGTAAATGATGGACGAAATATTCAGATGAAAGTTAAATCTACTGAACAATAAATAAGGTTAAACAACGATTATAACAAGTCATTGTAACAACTTCGTGACTATAATTTCTATTTGCATTTATAAATCTTATTGTTAATATAATTTATTCATTAAAAATTTACGAAAAAAGTTATTATAAAAAAAATTGTTTTGAGATCTTTAGCTTTATCGATCGCGAAATGCACTAACTATAAATCACCTTGTAGTTAATTGATAACATATGTAATTATATTTAATTTATACAGTACACTAATGCAACTGCATCCTACATCCAAACTGCTTCCCAAGTTAATTACAATGTTTCCAACTTGAGTCAAGTACACGAGGCGATATCAATCAGATGTGGAAATTACCTTCCGCCCTACCATTTCTCAAGTTTTTTTTTTTTTTGTTTAGGATTAATCTATGATCTATTCATTCACATGTTAACAACAAATTTCCGACACACATTATTCGCATGTCTGCGGTTAGAAATAAATAAAGTAATAATTGTAATATAAATACTTCCTGATTGTTTTGAATAAAATATCCTTTTTAAAATTCGAAGTAATACTACATAAAGCAATTTTAAATACCACTATTCGAATATGAAATATTCTATGTTCAGTGACAAATTATTATTTGTCACACACGTACACTTTAAACGTATTATTTGTAGTCCTTATCATAATAAAATTTACGAGCCATATACAGTAGAATCACTTTTTTATAGGCCAGAGGATTAAAATTAAGATTTTTTAAATAAAACTTTCTCTATTTTTGTTTTATCTTTTTTGATCAAATATTATTTTTAATGGCTATTACATTACATACGTTCCCCCTTTATATCCCGAATAGCATCAAATCTATCTTTTCGATTTTAACTTATTATTTATTTTACTTTATTTTTCTCACTTTATGTTTAAAGGTAAAACTATAAAATTTAAGATATTTCATATGGTACTGAAAACTCGTAAATACACATCTGTTTTATACTTGAATTGTAAGATAATTTGAGCACAAAATCGAGAAAAAAGGTGACCTTCAAAAATATCGAACCGTTTGACGTGATCTACACCCTCAAATTGTCAAAATTACGAGGTTATATTGGATAAACAGCCCAATATTTTTGTAGTCTACCTTTTTTATCGATTTTGTAATAAAATTACCTTATGATCCAAGTGGAAAGCAAGTGGGTGTTTACGAGATTTTAGTAACTAATTAAGTAAACACAGTTTGCCGACCTCAAGATTGAAAACGCCCCAATTTCAAGAGTTTTCATAAATAAAATATTTGTAGGTTACGACGGTATGAAGTTATTTAGGGGGATGTTAATAATTCGATTTAAAGGGGCTAGTACCACGGACTAAAAAAAAAATTACTAAAATGATATTTTTATGAATCACAAATAATTATTTTAAAAAATAAACATTGAAATTTTCAATTTCACTTTTATTGGTTTTCTCCAACTTTTCACATCAAAAAGTCTTATTTTAAATAAACTAATATATTTTAGACACCAATAGACATTTCAAATTAAGGCAGCTGTACAAAATAAACAAAAAATAAAATTGCACTAAAAAATTAGTATTATTGAAATCACTAACTTTTAAATATCTCTAAGTCCATAAAATAATATGCACTGGCAAATTATGTTACTTAGTAAGATTCATTAGAATTGTCAGGGTTAAGAGACATATTTAGTCGGATCAAATAATTCAATGTCAAGTAGTAAAATAATTTCAATTCTTCAAGGGGAATTATAACTTTAAAAATACACTTCGCAATCAACTATGATTTGTTTTTTTAAATGTCAAGGTAATTTACAATTTTTTGTTTTAAGTTGCTTATGCAAAAGACCAAATATATACAATAAATTATGAAAGGAAAATAGTGAAAAGGATTTATCATAAACTGAAACCGAAGCGTAGATCAGTAGAGACGTCTTTATATTGGAAAACCATCAGTTCACTAATGGCTTTCATAGCTTTGTTCCAATTTCCACGCCGCAGTCATGGTTCCAGTAACCAAGCTGAAAAACAGAGTCGAAAATAACTGCATCCTCCAAGTTTTTAAGCCATTCTTTCTGCTCTTCAACTTCATTGGGTGCACCGCACTCAATATCAATCTACAGTTTTCTTGGCTTTCTTCGGCCCATGCAATTTTAGTTATACTTTCCATGGTCGGGATCACTTCCTACGTGCTGTCCGACAATGACGACGGTTCAGTCCTTGAAGAATCGACAGCCGCGGTAAGGCTCATAGATCGTATTAAAGTGGGTTGTGCTGCGGGTGCCGCCACGGTCTGCACTACAATAAATATCATGAAGACCAAACCTCTCATGAAGCTGATCGCTGAAATAGAACAGTTTTCCAGGACTTTCCCATTGCAGACGAGACCTTTCAGATGGATGGCGCTAAGATCTATCTTCCTCGCAGTTCTTCTGGCGTCTGCTGGCATTCAAGAAATAATCATCGAACCTGAAACTTTCACACCTCTGCAAATCGTCAGTTTCGTCGAATATTACTGTCATCTCGTGTTATTGTTCACCGAATACCAGTTTGCAGTTTTTGTCAGAGTTCTAGAAGCCTTGCTGAAAAGTGTTATCGATAAGTTGAATCATGATGGTAACAACATCACAAGGCACGCTGTGCGGCAGTCAGTGAAGTACGAATTATTGCTGAAGAAGTTTAGTGAGGAACTCCAATCGACGTTTGGAGTGCAAATAGTGGTCGCTGTGTTTTCGAGTTTCGTCGTATGCCTCATTAGTTCATATTTCGCTTTGTTATATGTGATTAATTGGTTCACAGAGAGCGCAGCTGAATTGCCAACAATGACCGTCATGTACGCGGCTTGGGTCCTTTTCATTTTCTTAAAGGCACACGAAATTGTTTCATCAACACATGATTTGAGAGCGAAGGTGATAATAGCAGAAAAAAAAAATTGAAAGTATATACATTTATTAATAATGTTATCTCATTTCATTTACAGGCAGAATTACATGCAATGAAGGTTGATGAATTAATATTAAATGATGCAACGAAAAATCTGCAGAGTGATGTACGTATTTAGTCGAAAATTTGTATTGTTATTTCGGCTATACAAAACATTTATAATAAAACAAAGTATGACTAAATTAAGATATTGAGGTATAAGTAATATCCTTAATTTAAAAATAATACATAAGCAAAGAACAAACGTACTGATTATAACAAAAACATAATTCTTTTTATTTCTTAATTAAATGAATTATTCATTAAAATTCTGGAGGCTTAGTGCTCTTTCGATCCGTAAAGTGTAAAAAAAATAAGAAATTATTGCAGTAATATTGTTGAGTTAATTACACGGTAAGAAAGTACTGCTTCTTGTCCAACGGTTACAATACAAGGAACAGGGCATAAATAACGTAAAGGAAACCAAAGCAAAATTACTTGAAAGCCAGGGGAAGGATGAGGAGGGCATCGTAAGATTTAAATTGAAAATTAATAAAAAACTATAAAATACCTCTTCTTCCATTAAAAAGACAAAAAAAATCAACGAATCGATAATATTCTAAACTACAATAGTTGTTGGAGGTAAATAAAACTATAGAGATAATAAAATAACGGTCAACTTAATAGTTGATCGTTGCATTACATTATAAAGGAAGGAGATGGTCCGGGTGGCGGTCATAAAGAGGCTGAATAGTGGTAAAACTATTTTATTAAAAGACAACGTACTGTAATTTTCTAGGTTTTTCCACATTACCCAAACAAGACAGTTAATTCCCCAATACCTGCCCTTACCCTAATTTTCCAGTTCTAAGTGAAACTCCTAGCTGAACACACCTGTAAGTCTCTATTTTTATTCTCATAATGTTATTTACTTATTTAATAATTATTTGGTTTTCTTTTTTTTTTTTTTTTTTGTCCACATTCCTTAATGTCTATCATTTCATATTATATCCTTTTCCCTCATCTTTCAATCTCTCCTGTAGATCTATAGAAGTATATTCACATTTGCATATATTATATACTATATTACAATATTTGTTACCATCTATTTACTTCAGTTTAGGATCTTGTTACTTAGCTTACTCTGTTTATATATCAATGTACTTACTGTTTATAATTTTAATAAGCTTGTTCACATTGCTTATAATTTTTTCTCATGATATTATCTAACTTCCACAACTCTCTATCTTTTTGTATCTTGTCCGTTCTAGCACTGGAGAAGACCTGCAAAGTCGGGTCGATACGTTGGTTTTTAATAAAATAGTTTTGCCACTATTCAGCCTATTTATGACCGCCACCCCGGACCATCTCCTTCCTTTATAGAGATAATTATGTTAATAAGTGATTATTGGTCTCTCCGTTCAATCATATTTCATAACGAATACCAGTCATCAATAAATGTTTCACCTTCAAAGTCCACCATTTCCTTTTATCCCTCTTTGTGATGGCATTGTCAATACAATACCTATATTGTCAATACAATACCTATTCATGTAGCTAATAATCCAAGGTAATTTTCAATATTTAAATTCTTCTCAACAATCAACTGTTCCTTTCTACCCCTCAGACTTCCTTCATCCCATTATTATTCCAGGAAATATTTACTCCTATGGTCCTCGGGACCAATCAGTCTTGCAGTTACCCTTTAGTCAGATTCTTGCCAGGAGACCTATATACATGATCTTGACACCACACTCTTGTAGTCAATCAATATTTTAAAATTAAGTATTACGTAAAAGAGTTAACTAGTCTTATGATGCCACATGTAGATATCATTATAAATGAAATTGCTACTCCTCCGATTCTGCCACTAGATTAAACATCAATAGTGTAACTAACTTAGAAAAAAACATAGCCTTATATTTTACTAATTCAGAATTAGTAGCGAGTAAGATAAACTGTATTTCGTATAACAATTTTTTTCTTCTTTGAAAATTTTATGTTACAGCCCGTATTACAGACTTATCTGCAAGGGAGGTCGGAATGGATAATGTACGCTGGAAATATGATTATTCTTGATTTCGGTCTTATTACAGATGTAAGTGAATAAAGTACATATTTAACTGCATAATTCTATGTATAAGTCAATGGTCGCTTAACAATAGTGAACATGGAGATATCTACTTTGGATAGAAAGCTGTTCATTTACACTTAAATATAATTTATATTTATTTTATTGCATTCAATGACAAACTTTTTTTGTTTTTTAAAATAATTTTTATATGAATTATTTTTACTTTTCAGATGGCTGGAGCTAATACGACTTTCCTCGTAATTCTTTTGCAGTTTGGCCTAAGACCATGCTAAAGCTGATTAAACTATCAAACTAACTACTGATTAAACCATCAAGTTTAAAAAAAATAAAATATATTTATTTACCCTCTACTTTATAATAAGAGTGTAAGTAAACATCCTTGGCGCCGGTTCACTATACGGTTCCAAAGCAAATGTTAAAACTTAGTATGCAAGAAAACAAATAATAAAGGGATAAATAGAAGTCTGACTAGGAAACTTCGAGAGGTTTCTGAAGAAAAGTATAAAGTAAAAAAAAAAAATCTTATGAGAAAAAATCTATAAATTAAAATACACATTCATAAATTATATAAGTACATGTTTATATATGCTTGGAGAAGGAAAATCGGTATGTACTATAAAAAAAAAAACCCATGAAGGGTCTTGGGTTCAGTACTATTTAGGGGAAGCACTGTTTCTAGGTCAACGATTGTGCAAGGAGGTGATTTGACCGAGATCACGCTCAACCGCCAGGATTCCCCTCTTAATTAATTATTTAATTAAGGGTACCCACTTTATAGAAGCTGGGTGTGCCCTAGGAGGGTCGCCCCACGGCCAATGAAACAGATAAATAAATTTTCTGCCATGAGCCGGGGTTCGAACCTGAGACCTTTAGCATTGGAAGCTCAGTACCCTACCACTGAGCTACCCCACTCCCCTAATGTACTAGAAAAATAATAAAAATATTCTTACCTTCACTCAAATTATTTTAAAATACAGAGAATTACAGAAGTAGTGACATATAATTTTTTCTTAAAATTCCATATAGTAATTAACTCTATTTTCAAGTTAATTATTCTTTTAATCAACAATTTTGATAACAGGTTATTATTATGTCAATTGCCTTCCAAAACGGTTTAAACTCATCTGATAAAAAAATAAATATATAAAAATGGGGTTATTTTGTAGTTTTAAGTCTCAATTCAAGAAAATTAATTTGATCAAGGCAAGCCGTAACATTATATCATAATGTTTGCAATGCACAAACTGTTATATTTCATCATAATTTACTATGCATCGTGTGTGAGTTTGTTTCAGACGAAATTAATTAATAACTATTTAGTTTTATTCAATCTTATATTTTGTATAATATTTAATATCCTGATATATAATGTAATATAATATAATAATAATAACTATTCAATAACATAACAAACCTGATTTGTTTTGAGAAGCTGACATATTAGTGGCGAAGAACAACAGAATGTCATGACCCTTCCTATTTAATGAGAGACATTTTAACTGCACTATATCTTGACATTGCAATATATAATCAACATCATAGCAATTATAAAATGTTTAATATACAGTCCGTGGTACAGACCCCTTTTCATCAAATTATTAACAACTGGCTAAAACTTCGTAAATAGCTTCATCTCATCGTAACCAACAAATACTTTATTTCCGAAAACTCTCGGAATTGGGGCTTTATAAATCTGGAGGTCGGCATACTTTGTCTGTTTAATTAGGTACTGAAAACTCGTAAATAGCCATTTGCTTTCCACTTGAATCGTAAGATATCTTGAGCACAAAACCGGGAAAAAAGGTAGCTTTCAAAAATATTGAGTCGTTTGGCGTTACCTACACTCCCAAATTGTCAAAATAACGAGGTTATACAGGCCAAATATTTTTGTAGGCCACCTTTTTTATCGATTTCGTGTTCAAATTATCTTACAATTCAAGCGGAAAGCAAATCGGTATTTACGAGTTTTAAGTACCTAATTAAATAGACAGTTTGCCGACCTCCAGATTGAAAACGTCCAAATTCCGAGAATTTTCGTAAATACAATATTTGTAGGTTACGATGATAAGAAGCTATTTACGGAGTATCAGCCGGATGTTAATAATTTGATAAATAAGATAAGATTGTAAATGCGGCAAGTCAGTAAAAAAAAAACCACAGATGTATTCAATTTCTAGTAAAAAATACACAGGTGGACAAAATTGTTGGATCACTTTATTTACGTAACAATTATCCAAAATCTACTATTTTTAAAATGTATAGTAGTGTAAGGTTGCAATAATCAGAGTGTAAAAAACTTTGTTAATATCTGAATTAAGCAATAAATTAATAACGAGCAAAGGCCTCTTCCCCAACCCCCTAAATATATATATATATATATATATGTATACCTAAAAGTATTTTATTTTTCCTGTAATGATATTTTTTATTTATTTTCCTACAGTTCTTCAAGAACCACTCCAACGTCATTTTATGTAATTTCTTTCTCTTTCTTCCTGAGTAATTACCGTTATAATTTTCAGCTTAATAACTTGTATCTCTACTCCCTTATGGAACTGCTCCATTCACTTAATAACTTGTATCTCTACTCCTTCATGGAACTGCTCCATTCAGAAACTCTTTAGTTAGTTCAACTTCGTTTTTACCGTAATTTCTTCTCTATAGTGTCCGAAAAGAATAAGCTCCACTTATTTCTTCACCTACTTTATCTTCAATTAATGGCAGCTATATAAACAATATTTACTGTTTAAAATAACAACTAGCGAGATCGGTAATGCTTATCGGCACAAGTTTCATCATTACTTTCTTTAATATCTGTTACAATTTATTGCATGGAATGTAGAGAAGAAACCAATCCAGGGTGCCCTGACCTGGCGGTCAAGCTATAATTCAACCAGGAGCAAACTGATCCTTGAAATC